TATAGAATGGCAAATGAATCACCTTGCCACTCATTTTCAATTGTGCAAAGTTCATAAAGCTAAACCCTTGTGGTGGCCCTCGTGGATTGCCTGTTGTGGTAAAATGTAGCTTCGATCCTTAAGGCATGTGATATTATGTTGACCTCATATAATCATTCATGTAATCATATTTGTAATATCATTGCATCAGGGTGGAGTAACAGTTGGCCCATTAAGCGTTGGCTACAAGTTACATTCTGAAGCCCTGGTTTTTGGTGGAGAGAAAATGACGACTACCGACATTGCTGTCGCTTCTGGTTTCTGTGACATTGGTGACAAGGAAAGAGTGAAGCACATCTCAGAAGAAGTCAGGACTGAAGCATTGGTGGAGATAAAGAGAAAGATTGAAGCTGCAATAGATCGAGTTAAGGTAATAATACATGTATATATATGTCAACGGTAATAACCTTTGTTCCAATTAACAAATAATATTACATAATAACCCAAGTTATTCTCCCATTTTGATTGGTTCTCGCCTATGATCTATTAGAGGACAGACGCACGATTGAGGTCAGTCGTTATCATAAATTTTTTCCCTCTTTGTTTTAGAATGGAGGAAAGTTTTGAGAATTTAGATAATATTTTACGTGACTGGGCGAAAGATAAGGTACAAAAAACGTCTTGTGGAGGCATTGAACAGGTACGAGAAGCAGGAAGAGGAAAGACAAAGCCGTTTCCTTCTTAGAAAATGACTCAGAAAAATACTCGAGCAGTCTCAGTCGGCAGTCGAACGAGACTAAACCAAGCACAAAATTGCTCTTGAAATTAGTTCAAGACAAGAAACCATTGCTTTATCTCGAATTTAACAAACCCAATAAGCAAAATGTTTATGAGATTAATTTATTTAAAAAAAACATCAAATTTTCTCAGTCTCAAAATAATTGTTTACACACGTTAGTGTCAGGAAAGAAGCATCAATCAATCAATCAATCAATCAATCAGTCAATCTTTATTTGCACTCACTCTTGCTCAAAGTAAGAAAT